AATTATCTAGGATTGGGAGAAGACCTTTCCAAAGATATCACAAAACCCAGAGTGTTAAAGAAAGTTCCCTCTAGCTGGTAGTTGACATTCATTGATTCTTTCAACAAATTGTTAAATAATTATTACATGCCAAGCAGTAGGAACAAAATAGTGAACAAAACAACCTCTGCCCTTGTGGAGCTTACATTATAGAGTAAGGAGAAGGCAACGAACAATTGTTTGTTGTTTAATAAAACAGTACGTAATGTGTTAGAAGTATTGCAGACATGTAGAAGAAAATAAGGATATATTAATCTTTTAAAGAGTAAGTACTAATCTGCTATCTAATGTAAATATTTTCATCTACTTTTTTTCTTCAACTTATAGTTCCAATGACAGGATTTACACAGAGAGCAACTATTGATCCAGAACTGAATGAAATACATGTTTTATCTGGACTCAGCAAAGACAAGGAAAAGAGGGAAGAGAATGTCAGAAATTCATTCTGGATTTATGACATTGTGAGGAATAGTTGGTAAGGAACTCTTGGCTGTGCTGCAATCCCAATGTAACGCTTATTTGAGGTTGTTGGTTTATTCAAAAGAAGAGAGAATTGGGAGGCTTATGTTAATTTGTGACATACATTTAAAGGTCAATATTGAAAAAATTGTTGATACCGTGGTATACAATGATGTTCAGTGAAAGAATATTACCTATATGTTTTTCAGTTAGTAGACAGTTTCTGGTCTAGAAGTCAAGAGAATTATATTTTAGTCTAGGTTCTGCTGCCAAGTAGATGTGTGAACTTCAGAACAGTGCTTTTTTAATGTCCCCAGGTCTTAGTTTTTATATAATAAAATGAAGATGTTTGACTAGAGCAGGGAGGGGACATTGTTATTTAGCATTTCCAAACCAGGACCCTTTTGTCATAGATCTCTTACAGAACTAATGCTGCACATTTTGCTTTGGGAAAATGTGGATTCAGCTCTAACATTAGATCCAGCTCTAACATTCTGTGATTGCCCCAAAGTTACTATTACCATGGAGAGTAGTACTTTGCAACTAAGGAATTTATTATTTTCCAACTAGAACATCTATTTACAATCAAAGTGAAAGCAGTCTACTGTGGGTCTTTTTATTGTGAATAAGTAGACAAGATAACATCTCTTTCAACCTTTAGTTTGAGCCTTCGTGTAAGCTGTTTGTATTTCCTAACTGAAGGTAGGTTGGTGTTAAGTGAGCTTTATTTGATGAACATTAAAAGAACTTCAGAACTCAGTTCTAACGAATTCATGTTATTTTATGAGTGACTAAAACGTTAAGATTTGATGTGACTAAATTAATAATTTTTTTTCTGGTGGTAATCAGACGTGCAATTAATTTGCTTGCTATGGTAGTATTAACATTATATTTGCTGCTAATTTTCTAGAATAAAATGCCTTAAAAACAATGTCTTGCAGGTCTTGTGTCTATAAGAATGATCAAGCTGCAAAGGATAATCCAAGTAAAAGTCTTCAGGAGGAAGAACCATGTCCAAGATTTGCCCATCAGCTTGTATATGATGAGCTACACAAGGTATCCTAGCTATACTGACCTGTAAACTTTCCATGGCCCGCAATCTAAAAGAATCCCCAAGTATACCATTCTGATTGTTTTTAAGTAGATTTGAATAAAAAGTTATAATACATAGCAGACATTCAATAGCATATGTAGCAACTACTCAATATCACCTCTCCCTACAATTCCTTCAGGGAATAGACATTTTTGTATAGTCTGTAATTCTTGGCACTTTTTCCTTTTTTGAAAATCGTCAGTGGCTGCTGCTTAGCTGCCTAGATCGATACATAGCATGGCTTATTGTTTTTACAACGTGTAGCTTTCAGTATTTTGTACCTTGTTCCATGATATGAAAAGGACCAGGTATATAATTTCCTGGTTTTAGATTTTCTCATGGGCTAGGAAGTCTTTTTATTTTTCTTGTAGATGAGTGACATCTCTTTTCTATTAGTCTCGTGAAAATGGTCCTGCATTCTGAAGTTTTAATATCACTAAGTATTCGGAGTAATTTCTTTAACTATTTCTCCCTTAAACTTAACATGTACTTTAGTGATTGGAGTCAGATTATATACTAAGTTACTGACAGAGCCTGATTCGTATTGGTTAGGCCATGGATGATTTTTTAAATTCTGTGCTGTAGTTTAAGACCTCTAGGTAAAAGATATTGTAGGAGTGAATAAAAGCCCTTCCTCTTGGAATCTTCCAATTTAAGGGGTAGATGAATTTCCATCTATAGGATAGAGATAATAACTCTATTATATAATACCAATAACAGAAATGTTTTCAAAATTTCAGTAAATAGTTTGATGCTTTATGTAGGTACAAAGTAACATTAAAACTTTAATAATGAAA